ACGGCTCACCCCAATCAGAGAATTCTTGGTGTTGCCAATGGTGGTGAAGGTGCTGAGGTTGAAGATGATGGTGAACTGGGCTTTTTCCGGCGGTAGGGTGAGGGGAGCAAAAGCAGGGTGCTGGATATTAGGGCAGAGGGTCGCTGGTTTCAGGGGACCCAACGTCTCCATCAAGCTGTTGAGACCACACGCCATCTCGCCCAACACCATTTTATAAGCTGCCTCCAGTGTTGGGATGTTTTTCAGGCTCAGCAGCGCCTGGTACACGCCGTGCACAGCTGACATGACCTGTGCAGGGGGCACATGGACAGAGAGAATGTTTAAATTATTTTCACTCACCCAACCTACACTGAGTCTGAACTGAACTTCATGCTCCTGCTCTGATATATATACAACATGTTCTTCTTGGTAGAATCTTAGCTTGTTTCTAAGGTGAAGGCCTTTTGCATTAGCGAGCCACTTGGGTTCAGTATGCAGACTGCAGCGGCCTTGGATTAGATGTGTAAAATATATGGCGAGCCCATTAAGGTGGTGCAGGAACACTGAGTGAAGCCAAACCTCTTTCTCTTGATGGAAGCGAAGCTTCAGCAGCTGGGAGTCTGGTGCCAACAGCTTCTCTACAAAGGACACGGGCAGCTTGGTGTTGACCTGGTCTACAATCTGAAAGGCAACACGACCTTCATTAAAAAGTTCCTCACACAACGTCAAAGTCAGGCTTGCTAATTGTTCAGACCGTCACAGGAAGTTGTAGCAGACCCAGATTTAACTTTAATCAAAGGTTTATCAGAATTGGACAATTTACAGCAGTCGACAGCCAGACTGGTAACTGCCACAGAGTCTTACAGGAGTTTTAAATGGGGGGGGGACAGGGGGCTGTTACAGGAAGTCACAATGTTTAGTGCAGAAAAGGACAAAAACTGGTATCTGCAACACAGACTGTAAGAAAGCTGCAATCAGCTCATCGCAATTATAATCATAAAATATCAGTGTAGGGTTCATTAGACTTTGTCAGTCAGCCTGTGAGCATACTAATGATCTTATTCTATGAGTGTATATAAGCCGTTAGGTGACTGTACCAGAGTGAGGAGATTGAGCACTGCCAGGTTGTAGTCTGAGCCACAGGCCTGGCAACAGTCCAGCTGGTCTAGACCGTAGGCAAGGACAGCCTCCATCAGCTGCCCACAGGGCTCCACGCTGGCCAGCAGCACACCCACGCACTCATTCCCTGCAGTGAGAACGGCCTCGGAGAACTGCACCTGCTT